GCCCGTAGAGAAGACCTTTGTTTCTTCAAGTTTTCTTTGTGCACGTTGCTCGTGAAGAGCAGGAAGCCCATGTCCTGTCTCTGCGCTGTCGACAGTGGTGCCACGCAACCATGAGCCAACCACCTCCTACGGCACCCCAAGGCGAACCCATCACGGTTTTTGGGTCTGGCAACAGCAACAGAAAGAGCTGGGACTCGTTGAGTCCACAAGAAGTTTGCTCTTGGTGGGACGACCAGGGCTGGACCCACAACAACGCACCGGAGAGAGTCTTTTCCTCCTACGCTTTCCTAGGGGAGGCAGACCTCAAGGACCGAAAGACTTTCCCCCACCACCACCATGTGTGCAAATACAAATATATATGTCTGCCATGGAAGCGTAAGGGGTTTCTAAATAAAATGTTGTCAGCCACTCGCTGAGTGCTAAAGTAGTGTTAAGCTGCAGAAAACAGTATTTCCTTTGGCATTTCAGGCAGTTTCGAACCAATGTTTGAAACTCAAAACCAGTGCCAAGCCTAAACACATCTGGTTGATCCCAGGCCACAAATAGCGCAGGAATCCCTTCAACACCTTCCAGAACTGCCATACTGAAAGCTTAATTCCAAAATAGAGCTGACAAAAAATACTTGTCAGCATGATGCCACACGACAAAACTCAGCAAAGCATGATGCAACCGTGAGATATCCAGACATAACATATGGTGCAAAGATTGGAATTAGCGAAGACCGATCACCAAACTTAGATTGCAGACGGCAAAAAATAAAATCAAACATTAGTACCTTCAGCCAGATTCTCTCTTTTTTTTTTTTTTTATTTTCAAAATGTCAAATCATAATCTTAGTGTCATCCAATGGAATGCCTTGGAGTGGTGCAACCATGCAGGCGGATGCGATGCCAACTGGTCATTATTTCATATTTTGTGCTATTTTTATATGGATAAAAATGCTGGTATTCAGTGCCTGAAATGCAGAGCCCTGCTTTGCATGTCTTATTCCTAGAGCAGATCGTTAGGAACTTATTAGTGAACTGGCCTGATTCCTCAGGCGTATTTATCATATTAGATAATATGGCATGTGACTAGAACAGGAATAAACTTCACACCAGAGCCCTCTCATCCTGTCAGTTGAAGAAGTGTGGTATTTCGTTAATTCTTAAAGAAGGAAGGAAGAGTACAGTGGAGGTAAGGCAAGAAAACCCCAGCCAAGAACAAAGGGCCGAGAAGATAGGAGACTCATTGGCAGCACTGACATGGAAGGAAATCCAAAGGAAAAAAAAAAAATTTTCAGACCATTGAAGGATCTCAACTTCCAGGAATACTCAAGCTACTCCTTTATGAAGCTGATTTGCTTTCTTCTCCCCTGGGACTTGAAAGCAGGGACAGTCAGGCATAAAAAAACTCACTTCCATAGCAAAGTTACTTAGAAGGAATACCAAGGAATATGCTAATTTTCTTGCCCGATCTAGTCACAGCTACATTCAAGTCCCACTGTGAAAGTTCACATTTAATAAGGTGTGATTAACGAATGCTCAGGGAAGCCAAAAATTGTATGTTATGAAATGAAGGGGAGATTTGGCAGGAAGGAAAATACAGGAGAAACCACAGATAGAATAACCCAAGTGACAGAGAAATTAGTGGATGCCTGGAAACTGGGACTCAGACTACATTTCTTTGTATGAGAGCCTCCTAAGCTTGCACACACACAGGGTTTGTTTTTTTCTTTATTTCCCTTTACAGTAAAATTGAAAATGCAAGCCCCATATATTGAAGTATAGCAGTACTGCTTTTATAATCTGTTCCCTAAATGTGCATTTCTGCCCATTTAACCTGTTGGTTAAAAGCCAAGCTTGAAGAAAACTCTGGGCTGTGAGCTGTACACATACTTTAGCTTTGAAGCCCCAGCCTTGACATGGGGGTGCACCCAACCCAGAGCCAGGAGGCAGCTACCTGTGCTTCAGAGCACAAGTTTTGCCACAATGGGAAAATCCCACAGTTTTAGCTCGGGAGATCAAGTTGCTTACTCAAATTAGCTTCAAATCCTGAAGCGCTCTTGACCAAAGTGCTCTTTAAACCCCAGTGCTGCCAGAAGAAAACCCTCACAGGGTAGGTGGGAGCTTCCCCAACGTTACCAGCCACCCAGCGGGATGCACCAGACACACCTGCCTCATCCCAGCCATCCCGCCGAGCCCACTCCAAGCAACATACTACTGTCTCTTCAAAGTATCTCTATAGTTCCTAATTTTGTTCCTTTTTTGTTCCTCGTAGACCTTCTGCTTTTCCTTGGCACTGTTGTTTTGTGTCCTACTCCTCACTGAACTACCCACGCTGTCTCAGTCCCTCCCTCTGGCTTACTTTTCCCTAACATCGACAAGCCCAACCCTTGCCTTGTTCCGCTTCTCCACAATGCTGCTTCTCCTCTGTTACTTCAAATTTCCTGTTTTTTCGGATGCATGCTACATTTGATGCCCACTACATCCTTCTCACCCTACAGCTGTGCTCCATCCTGTTGCCCAGCACTTTTTCTGTCCTCAAACAGAAGCCAACCACCTCCACTGCTTCTTGTCCAGATGTGTCTCCACCTGCCCTTCCCCAAGGCTGGGTGATGTGCTTGTCCCTCCGCCTTTTCCTGCTTTGCTCATCCCTCACACATCGGGTTTAGATTGGATGTGAGGAAGAAGTTCTTCCCCATAAGGGTGGTGAGACACTGGCACAGGTTGCCCAGAGAGGGGATGGCAGCCCCATCCCTGGAAGTTTTTGAGGCCAGGCTGGATGGGGCTCTGGGCAACCTGATCTAGTGGGGGATGTCCCTGCCCATGGTGGGGGGGTTGTAGCTAGATGATCTTTCAGGTCCTTTCCAACCCTGACAATTCTATGATTCTATGTTCATTCAATGTTTCATCTCCTGCTTGTGCTACCCGGGGCCTACCCCCAGCCAGCGCAGAGGTAGCCTGGCAGGCAATCATCCATATTTTATAAATTAATTTAGAAATGAGAAGATTGAAATACTTTGTATTTTCATATTAATTTATATTATTACTAAAAAGGCTCAACTCGAGCTATTTAGTCTACCACATCCATATCAAGGGCTTGGTTTTGATCTGAAGGAACATGACAGCTTGAGCGAAGTTCTTTGTTCAGACACCACACAACATACCTTAGCAGCGTGCAGCACGCAGCTGTTCCAACACTAATTGAAATATGTTTTTAAATGGATCGGGTTTCCGAACATTTGCGGAAGAATTATTTTTTTCCCCCGTGTGCAAACCCCAGTATTTCAGCCATTTAAAAGGAGTGCCTAATCCCTACAGTGCATTAGCAGGCCGTAAAATATAGCAGAAGGAAGGTATTTTACACCAGGGATGGGGACAATTCTGCGATTGTAGGTGGATGGGGAGAACCTAAAATTGCAGGTAGTCCTGGCTTTTATAGCAGCTAACACACAGTAAGAGCGTTGTCACGCAGTGTCACAACACTAGTGGAGGAGAGATGGGTCAAAAGGAAATGCATTTCAACGTCCCACCTCACAGGTTTTCCCCAGTCTCATCTGAGATGACCTGTGACAGCCGGGGGGATGGAGCCAGGAGAGCGGTACCCAAGGATGCTCAGGGCAGGGCTTACGAAACACTCACGCGTCGTTGGGTGGGTGCATGATGTCTGTGCATCTACGCTGCGTTTTGCAGTGAAACCAAATGATACAGCTCAAATAACTAAAGGAAATGTTTGGGGTTTTTTTGTTTTGTTTTGTTTTTTAAATTTTTTATTCCAGCATCTGCAAAGAGAGGTTCCCACAGGGGCCCGCGCTCAATTTACAGAGGGGAAATTAGAACTAATCTGTTTGCAGAGTTTCTAAAATTGCATTTCTGTTAAAGCAAAACAACAACAACAAAAAAAATCCTTGGCTGTAAGTATCTCTCAATCTTCCTGGACTAAAAGTCTTTGACTGAGAAGCTGTATGTTCCCCATTTGCAGTGGTGTAAAAGTCACAAGACATCAGATCATAAGCTGTCACTGGTCCCAGACTAAATATCACCCATCCTTTGCCTAAGGCAAATGGGCCTTTTTTTTTTTCCTACAAGAGGGGGCCAAACAGAAATCTCACTCTTTGGAGGAAAAAAGGAAACATTTTTGTGACAGTTTGTTTTTATTTTTTAAAGGCATTTCTTTTGAAGCCGCTCGGGGGGTTTGGACGTTAGATGTGGTCCCGATGGAGATGGATTAGTGGCCAGAGCACAGCGAAGCGGTCAAAGGTGCAAGATAAATGCAATTTATATATAATTGCCCAAGCTGCACCTGTTCCATTTTGAATAGGAGACCTTGTCTACAGAACAGATTTCACAAGCATAGAATATATCTTTTTTTATATCTTTTTTTTTCCCTCCTTCTTCTTTATTTGAGTATAAAACGGGGAATTCTAAACTTGTATCAGAGTAAAGCAAGAAAAAAACCCCTTTAAATAGCATGTAAATTTTTTATGAATCAAGCTCTAAATAAAGAAAACTCCTGAGCTGGGAATTCAAAATACTAGCCAGAGAGAGCTGATTTGCTACTAGGCTCAAGAACAATATTTAGTTTACAGAATCAATCTGGAAATAAAACTAGTGCTTGCATCAGCATGAAAGCTACAAAAATAAAAAAGAGGTCTTAATAAAATATACAGTGGAAAAGGAAAGGATGAAAGCACTAGCACAGCTATGAGGCCCTCGGCATCCCACACAAGTAATAAAATAGAATATGATGTAATATAGAACAACAATGAAAGGATTTAAAATTTCTAGGTAGGATTCTGAAAAACTGTTTCCAGCTTTTGTTGCAGAGCAGGCATGCTGCAAGCCTCCTTGCGAAGCTCCAGTAAAGCTGGTCTGCAGGCAACATGGGCACTGAGGACGGCAGCAAAAAGCTAACCTTCACCTCAAATCCTGAGCCAGCCCGACGCGACAGGATGACCAAGGAGGGGCTGGTTTGCTACCCAGGAGCCAGGATATTTCTCTATTTTCTGGGGGCTCCATTCTGTTTGCTGTCCTGCTCACTTCCCCACTACTGCTTTCCCTCCTTATCTGCAACGCAAACATTATTTTTTGTGTGTTCACCAACTGGCACTGATGCTTTGCCACGAAGGCAACCGTCTTCTTCACCTTGAGCAAGGGAAGTGTCTCGAGCCTCGTGCTAAGCAGCTTGGAGAAATCTGAGATTAGATGCATGCAAATGAAGCAGTATCTGCTCAACTAATTCCAACCCATCCAAAACTAGGCTGGGTTCATAAAAATTCACAGGAAAATGATGTGAGCACTGAATTCCTGTGCTACCTGTCATGCTCTGCACCCTGATTACACTGCAGCATCCCCTGGCTTTAAAGAAATGAGATCTCATGATGCTCAAACTCTAAGAGAGACATGTAACTTCTCTTAAAATTAAATGGCATCCCAAAACTAACTTGGCAGATTTGGGCCCTTTAGCAAGCAGTGGCCTCTGCACTCAATTTCAAATCAGCCCGAACCAATGCAATTCACTCGTTGCAGTAACGCAATAAATTTTCCTTCTCCACATGCACCTCAAAGCTATTGCAAAATACCACTAATGCTGCAGAAATTACAAATCATGGATTTTGAAATTTGGGGCCCTTTTTCTACTGTGCTCAAGCTATGGCAGGCATGGTGTACAGAGGTAATCACAGAGCCCCTTCATCTGCATCCACATGGTCCTTCCAAAAACTTTTGGGTTGACAGGCCAAATCCCATCCTTCTTCTTGCCCTGGCAGAGAAACTCAGCTCCAACACAATACACGCAATACTCCTGATTTCTCCTTCACAGTAATTGGTGTTGCACATGATTAAGCCAACTCATGTCAATATTACTTTTCACTCCAAATAATTTCTCTGGGGTAAATCTTTAGGGATTGCAAAGCAGGAACGTGGCCTCTGTCTGACTCTTTTGACCCTCATTCTAGCACTGGTTGCAATAGGCAAGTGGATCCTGAGAAGTGGTGACAAAGAAAAATCTTATTGTTCAAATATCAGGAAAAAAAGATCTAAAACAGCACAGAGTTTTATTTTTTTTTCCATAGGAAAAAGGATATTGGTATAAAAAGCATCCACTATTTGTGCTTCTCCAGGAAAGACAGGAAGTGTTCCAATTCCCCCTAAAATATGTTTTAATGAAGTAACAACAGATCATGATCAGCTGGTCAGAAAATAGCAACACACTCAAAGAAGAAGCTTTTTCTCTTTTTTAAGTTTCGAGAAGTTGATTGAAAAGTCTAGTTCTACACTTACAATGAAGAAGATGGCTTTACTTTCAATTCGATTCCTTCCACTGAACTTCACACCTGTGTTATTAATGCAATTACAAACTTTTCCTCAAAACTATTGAATTAATTTGAATTCACTGAAGATTCTAAGCCATTAGCCAGAGTCCCAGTGCAGCATGCCTCCTGAAGGCTGTGAATGAGTTATGGAGGCTAGCCCAGCCAAGGTCTTCAGAGCTCTCAACGACCTCTCCCTAAGGTGAGCGTGATGCACAGAGGCTCCATGAAAGCAAACACACGCTCAGTCAAACTTCACACTTCATACAGCGAGTTCCATCACAGGATTTCAGCCTGCATGAATTAAGATTTACAACTCGGAGAGGTGGATTGGTATCCTTTCTCTCTACTTCAAAGATGTGATATTTCAAAGGGTGAAGGTGACAGAAAGATGAGGCTGAAATTCATGGAGGACGGCTGTGGCAAGGCAAAAAAGAGTGTGGTGGCCCATGCCTTCACCAAAAGACCATCCTCCCTGTCTCTAAATGCCACACTCGGGCTTGATGATGCGCTGCAGGTGGAGTATGTTAAATGTGACGCCCTGTACAGGTTCTGGATCGTAGGGCTGAGTCCCATAAAACTGATGGATGTAGAGCTGAAAAGCCAAAGGGACGGAGCAAAGAAGGAGGAGAAAAGTCCATGGCGCCACAGCTGTGTGGTATTTTTCAAGGCAGTAGGTTCCTGTGCTACTTAAGGACCAGAACATATTTTTCCTTTTACAAATGCAGTTTATTTTGCAAATCAAGGTGATTGCACACATTTCAGCTTGTCAAATTTTCAGCCTTTCAACCATATGTCTGTCGACCTTATGGACTACCAACTTTATGGGATTCAACCATATGTCCAGATCCCGATATATATGAAGGCCAGTTCTAACATAAGAGCTTTACGGTAGTAGTGTAGTAAACCATAATGTTTGCAGATGGCTGTAATAAAATCATTCAGGAGACGAAAGGTGCAGGGACATAAAGCCTTCAAAGCTCCTTCTACTGAATAAACAATTTGATCTGAATAACCTAGTGGGAAGCACATTCCACCGATGAACTAGCCAATCTAGTCCAAAACATTGCTTTTAATTTTCTTTCCTAATCCCACATGTATTTTAACTTCCGTTTTTATTTTCCTGTGTAGGATTATCTTACAATTTGGAGGAAAAGTAGAAGGAAAAATAACAAAGTAAAGAAATTTTTTTTAAAGGCACAGTCCACTTCTGAACTATAAATTTTTCATATGTGAAATGCCTAATGGTTATGTGCGGCCTGGAAGACATATTAATAGAGAGGTATAAGTTTTTTTACTGTCACATGGTGAGATTGAAGGATGATGTGACTTGCTTCATTTCCTGAAGTGGGACTCAGCTTTCAAAGTTAAGGAAAGTTTCCTCCTGAGTAAGCTTTTTCTAACTCTAGGAAGTTGGAGTTTGGTTTATGTCCTGCTACACGATCATTCACCTGATAATTCATATTCCCTTTGTCTAACATAACTTGATATCTCTATTATTTGGGGAGCTCTGGTCCCGTTCTTCCCCTAAATGAAACATGCTGAGATGATGCATCCCCCTCGGAGATGTCTCCGGGCTCACACCTGTCCTGGCTGACAGCACTGCCTGCGAGGGGGACCACAGCCAGCATAGGTGTGATGGAGGATCTTTTTCAAAAGAAAGTATTTTTCATGCTGACAATCCGCAGTGAGCTTCCTTAAATGAGACAAAAATCAGTTCCTGCTCAGGAAAGAAGGAAATCTTCCCCGGGCATTAACTGAGAAGGGAAAAAACAAAACGTAACTTGCCCACACTGCTGGCGTGCGAAATCACAGTGAGGAGCGGTGAGATCACCCCCGTGTGCTGTTTACTTTCAGATAACTTGGCCAGAGCCAGTTCTCGCACTGCTAATGTCAGTGGAAGTTTTTGCACTGGATTAAATGGTGCAGGGCCAGATAGTGTCTAAGAAAACAGAAATATACTGTCACTCTCCTTTCCTATGGCAGACGTTGTGTTGACCAAGTTGCAGTCCTTTCTGAGTTGTAGGGCCTGCCTTGTTTGAAGAGGGCCCTTCCTGTGAGATGTTGGGTGCCAAAGGTGCCACTGTGCTCAGCATGACACGAGCTCACCTTGCACCTGCTGAGATTCACCTCATCCTATCCATGGTTATTAGGGGTGCCAAAGGTGCCACCATGCTCAGCATGACATGCACTCACCTTGCACCTGCCGAGATTCACCTCATCCTATCCATGGTTACTAGTTATTGCTTTCCCAAGCAATAACTATTTAAAAAAAAACACATTAAAACCACTAAAAAAAAAATTTTTAAAAAATAACACTAGGTCAAACAGAGCAAACCATCATTATTTTGTCCCTATTGAAAGCATCCTCACCGCTCATCGCACAAGTGAACTCGTGAAACCCCGTGAAGGGTGCAGCACAGACCTCAGCCCTCCCCTCAACGCGCACGGCCACCCTACCTGTGTGCTCGTATTTGTGTCGCAGCAGGGAACTGCTCTTCTGGAATGTCTTGTCACATAAATCGCACGCGTACATGCCACTTTCCGTCTTCTTGATCTTCTTTCGGGACAGACAGGAGTCAGAGTCCGTCATGTCGTCGAGGCCGGACATGTAGTCTGGGGTTCCATCAAGCAATTCTCCCTGCGAGGGAACCACCCGTCAGTGACACCCGCGTCCATCCACCACCTCTCCTTCCCATGGAGGAACCAATCATCCCAGGACAGTTAGAAGCACGTCTGCTTAGGATGGTGGTCCCTCTTATCTTGGGAACCCATTGGTAATGAAACCATGGCTGATGGGATCTCTGGAAATAATTAGCAGCCTCCTACTCCACTGCCTTTAACCAGCTGTCTGATTTTGAGCACTCTGCAGTAATATGATTTAAGCACCATATTTATCATATTGGCACTGAGTATATTTGAGGAATGGAAAATACAAAGAGGAGGCTCTTCATGGACAGCAAAAGCTATTGTAATATTTGACGGGGGGGATCATTCCTTTCAAAACACTGAAACTTGGATATTTTCTGTATCTGTGAAAAGGTTTTAATTGAATTTTATATTTAGGTACAAATGTTATTATTATGCAATCCATTTAAATGTATGTCTCCTGACTAAAGGCCTCAAGCCATATTTTTATATTTAATTTTGTAATTTGAAATAGGGAATATTAATAACACTTTTTATCAATGTTCTATCTATGTTAAAACAGCCTTCAGCATTAAGCAATAATGAATGTGGATCAGTAAATTATTAAATTTCTTGATATTTATTTTGTCTTGATCCAAAGAGAGTGCAAACTTGCATGATAACATACATTTCCATTTGCTATCACACAGTTCGGTTTTCTTAGACTAGGTTTGCACTAATTAATATTAGAGAAGATTAAATAGGCTAAAATACATTTACAAAGAGGGCAGATGTACTGTAAATTGGAATAGTGGAACAGCTGTTATGGCGGTGCGGTGCTATTTATGCTCCTATTGTGCAGAGAGGGATTACAGCCTGTAATGTAAAACCATACCTGATTTTCACATTTGAAACTATAAAACATTTACAAGTCAGTAAAATTACTAATAGACCATAATAGGACATAGGGGAACTTGCGCGAATGTAAAAAAAGAAAAATAAAATTATTAATCCATAATCAGTTAATCTCCTTTAACTAAACTCTGCGCATTGTATCTGGGTACAACCAGCAAAAAGCTCTAAAAGTAGGTGACTTCTGCACAGCAGCTCTTTGCTGTAGGCACGGACCCGGTGAAATCCTTTGCTACTCCTGAGTTGACTCCGGGACGACCCTAGAAAAGGATTAAAGGTTGTACCCAAGCACAAAGAATTGCTGACCCAGATTATGTGTCCAGGGAAAGACTTTGTCTCTGGTTAAGAGCACCTAGCTGCTACCTCTCCAAATAATTTCATTTAATCTCCGGGTTTTTTCAAAGCTTTTCCAGACGACTGGCAGGATTAGAGGGCTGGTAGTCTGGGAAGGGCAGCAGCTGTGCTGAGGGAAGTGGCTATGGTGAAGCAACGCCTCGACATTTCTCATTCCTCAGATATTCATGGGAAGAGAGAACACCTTTCCCATGCATAGTGGGACCCCCTCCCCCCAAAAAAATAATGGAGAAGGAAGATTTGAGGGATTTCGATACGATAGAGCTGCTACAAGGACATATGGACCTCTGTTCAGAGGGATACTGCTATGCATTCAACTGCGAGGGTGATTCCCAAGAGGTCTCCCACTGCTCCTCATCCCCGTGGTGACATGTAGCTATATTCTGCAGAGATCAGTTTCCCTGCAAAGTTTCCTTTTTTCTGCAGGATTGGATTTTTCAGTGACATTTTATTATTTTTATTATTATTA